GCTATTTCAAAGTTAAAAAGGAACGATCATAGGTTTTTTAAATAATGTTTCTAGCCCTGATGATACTATTGGCACATTTGAACAAGATCAAAACTGTGTCTTGACTTTTGCAGGCATGTCAGAATGAGAATGACCAAAATGAAGACTTACTTTAGGAACCTAAGAACCTAAGAATAGCCCTGTAGGAATAAGACAAGGCCCATCTGGGTCCAGCAATTCATTTCAATTCTGATAGTGGCCAAGTAGATACCTCCAAGGAGCTGGCAAGCAGAAGATGGGGACATACCCCTCTCCAGCCACTAATCCCTTGCAACTGGTATTTGGAGTTACAAGGCCCCCAACCCAGAGGTAACATTGGCTATCCACAGTTAATAGTCCTCGAGATGCCTGTCTTCCATAAATTCATGTTCTCCCTTTTTTCTGCCATCCAGGTTAGTGACTATCATCACTTCTTGCAGTAATGAATTCCACAGGTTAATTCTGAGCTCATCTTCAGAACACCCTAATTGGACCACAAACATGCCCTGGATTTCTCTTTTTTAAATGCCACATCGTCATCGCATCGCATCCCCACTCCACAGCTGAGGCAGCTTAAAGTCAACTTTAGCCATTCCAGTTTTAATGGAAAAATGATTTCCTCTTCTCCTAACATATAATGGCAGAGACTCTTTAAATTAATTTCTGGGTCCATTGTTCACAAATATCCTTCAATACATCCAATGTTAAAGGATTTTGCTCCATTCTGCATTAGTAAATCAAATTTAAGTGTTGTTCTCCTTTAATTGTAATATTTTGTTCCCTCTGTTTCCCTCTAGTCCAACCTTCAAAGTCCCATCCTACTATAGTTTTTTTAAGTATTCAAAACAACAGCATTTTCCCACAGGAAGGATTCTTATAATTAATTTCAAAATCTTATTTCAAATCCATCTGGACTCTTAGACTGTTTGCAATTTTCCAAAATCAATGTTCTAATCACCCTTTTGCTGTTTCTTCCAAAAAAATGAATTTTACAAGTCCTTAATCTTGTATTTAAAACTTCTTTTGCGAAGGATTGAAGGAGACTCACCCAGTGCAGTAAAACATGTCATTCTAAAAGTTCCTAATATCTGAAAAGCAATTAACAATTGATTTCCAAAAGTGATTCGAAATGGAAGTAGGCGAACCATGCGTCCATTCCAGTTTTAAAGAAATGATTTCCTCTTCTCCTGACACAGTGTTTGCCATAAGCACGATCTTGCATGCTGTATGAATAGGGTGGTTGATGACAAGGTCTGGAAATGTCATCTGCTCAGTTTCTAATGGCCTATTTAGGCTAATGTAGGTATACCCCTTTTCCGGTCACTGGGAGTGAATGGACACCTGGACTTCACTGAATCTAATGCTTGACTGGCACTTTCTGAAGCTGTTGCCAGGTGTTATTATAGGCTCCTTAAATATACATGTTTAGCCCTCTTTTCAAAGAACACTGCTTTTTAAACGTAGGTTTAATCCTTTTTTGAGGAAGTGCTAATTCTGTGTGGCTCAGAAGGTTAATTTAAACTCAGAAAAAGAGGCAGGATCTATCAGCTGTATGTTATTCTATCACAAAACCTGTTTATGGGTTCTCTGCTTGCTTCTGCCAACATGGAATTTCCTGTTGTGACTACCTATTTTTTTTTATTTTGGTGGGGAGGGGGTAGTGCCATTATGCCTAATACAGAGACTACTTCTAGGTGCTGCCAGCAACGGCTGGTCTCTGCCTGTGCTGGCATTCCCTGAAGCTCTAGTTCAGGGTTCCTCAACCTTAGCAACTTTAAGATGGGTTGACTTCAACTCCCAGAATTCCCCAGCCAGCATGGGGAGTTGAAGTCCACCCATCTTAAAGTTCCTGAGGTTGAGGAGCCCTGCTCTAGTTGACTACAGATCTTGCTTGATATCAGTCACTGTCTTCCACTTCACTCCTTATGTTTTCTCCATATGCTTTAGCCCAACTGACAAGTCACAGACACAGAGGAGAGATATTGGATGAAAGAGGAGATAGTGGCCCCATGATTATTGCAACACCTCCTCCATGCCTGTATCCTGGGTCATTTATTAACTCGAGGGCATGGATTTAGCACTCTTTCAAAAGAACAGTAGACCCATGTTCAGAAATAGCCCAACTGACAGGTATGGAACACCTCTGTGCCTGCAGCCTTGGTCGAAGGTGGCAACATGGTTAGGATGGCTACATGGATCACTGAAAGCATCAGTTTACCCTCATCAGCACCACTTCACCACACATGATGGAGTGTGAGTCTGTCCATGTGTTGTGAAATTAAGGAGTTTTCATCATGTCTTTGGAGTGCTAGTTGATGTTCATGGATGTGCTCTGCAGTTCATGGATGAACTCTGCAATCAGAAGACACAATGAAAACTCCTTAATCTCACAACACATGGACGGACTCAACCACAATTTCAACTGGGAAACTGTCAGCATCCTAGACCAAGCCATCCTACACCAAGCCAAATCCAAAAGCACTAAGGAATTCCTGGAAGCTTGGCATTCAGACAAATCAGCCATCAATAGACACATAGAAATATTTATACATCGTTCAGAAGAGACAACAAAAAGCTAAGAAGGAAACAAAAAGACCAGAACATATCCTCTCCAGCAATCTACACCCAGATAAGCAGGGATTAACACCAGACAAACAGAAAACAATACCCTAATCAAGGAACCACCAAGAAGAAAACCACCCCCCTCCCCAACACTGGCAGGGCAAGCTACTGTATATAAACAGCAAATCCCACACTCACCAGCACTGGTGATGTTACCTAGTTGGGTAATAAAACATCTGCAAGCAAAAAATAATAAAAGGATAAAAGAAAAATCTAATCCCCCCCCCCCAAAACTACCAAGCTCAGAGAGCACCAAGGAGTGCACAGTTCAACCCTGAGCTACAGATATTCTCTTCTATTGTAATCAATGATTATCAGGGTTGGTTTCTGGCAATAATTTAAGGCCTTAGTATTAACCTCCTAAATTCTCAGTTCCATAGGGCAGCAACATTATCATGTATGGACTTCAACTTCCAGAATTCCCCAGCCAGCATGCTAGCTGGGGAATTCTGGGAATTGAAGTTTACACATCTTAAAGTTGCTGAGGCTAAGAAACATGCCTTAGGGCTTGACTATCTACAGTCTAATGTATCAGGCAGCACACACATTTTTAAAAAATCAAATCAATGTGAAGGACCACATCTCTCATCGTGAACCTGTCGGGATCTGCAGGAGACGCTTTTCTGAAGGTATCTACCTTCTCAAAAATCTATAAGGAATACTGGACAGCACCTTCATCTATGTCTCTTTCAAACTATGAAACACACATCCTTGGAAGCTGGGTTTGGGTCCTACTCAGATTGATTTTAGAAGGCCAGTCAAGACATATCTCTTGAACCGGCTCTTTAATCATTCATGTGATTCAGTTAATATATTTATTTTTTTGTTTGGCTCAAGATACAAGTCTCCTTACTTTATAGAAAGGCAGGTTATGGATCAAGGAGGCAAACAATTGTTTTTGTAATCAAGGAGGCAAACAATGCATGTAGGTGGACAAAAAGAGTGTGAGAGAGAGACACACAGATGACTGCAAGGTTAGGAGAAAGGCAATGAAACAGTAAGAACCTAGGTAGGCAACTTGGGTTGATAGGCACATTTGGAAATTTGAGAGGTGGTTGTAGGCATTCTTATGCAACAAAAGAATGCCCTTCTTTGTGCTTTTTCTCTCATAGCTCTTTGTCCGTGGAAGTCTTTTCCACTTGATTTGCTTTCTGTTTTTAAACAGGACCTTAAGAAGGCTTTGTTTCTACAGATGTATGTCAAAACACATTTGGTTTGCTGTCCCTATTGCATTTAGCTTTGGGGCACTCTCACTTTGAGCTTTAGGTTTAACTGTACGGAAATGCACAGTGACAATTTTCCATACGTTGCCCAGTAAACAGCTTCTCCATGGTTAACCTGGCATTGTTGCAGCCAAGCAAAGGAAGGTTACCGAAATGCATGGTGAGGCTTTCAAGTTAGCTTGTTTGTAACAGGTTCCAGCACTTAGTCAACTCTGGTTATCTTGAGAAGCAGTACCTGGTTAGTACTTTGGTGGGAGACCCTTCAGGTTGTAGCTGAACTAGAAAGCATTTTGGAAAACAACAATGGCAAACCACTTCTGCATTGTGCCAAATAATCCCCCATGGATGTAGTAGCCAGTGACTGAGCTTGACTTGAGGGAGGCTTTATCTAACTTAAAATATTACAAGTCAGACACCACTGGAAAACACTGCATTGTACCCCCAGCTCTGCTCGAGACATTCCCTCCAAGGGGAATGGAGGATGAACCTTGCTTAAGATATGGGAGTTTATAGTTCAAGGTACCACACAGACCCATAGAATGGGCTAATTCAATAACCGGTTCAAGAGTATTGTGCAGATGCAATCTGTGTCTTGGTGACCTCTTTTTAATATGAGTAACCATGTTCTGCTTCTAGAGTATTGGCACAGGACTGCCAAGTTTAGTATCAGTATGATTATTAGCAAAAACAGTAACAACAATAAGAAAAGTATGATGTTGGTGAGAAAGAGGGAGGGGGGAGAGAGGGAAGGAAAGAGAGGGAGATTGGTCAAAGATCCTACTATCACCTTTGTGGGAATTTGAACCAACACTTAGTGTTCAATTAGGAAGCTACATGGATTGGCTTTCAGCTAATCAACCAATCTATAAATACAAGTCAATGTATAAATATATGTAGGATCTGCAAGGAAATGTCACAGTGTGGAGAGGTCTTATTTTGGTTCCAACCATCCAAACATAGCCTCCTCCAGACTGAAAACGTTTCCCTGATACTGCCTTCTTGGGCACGGATGGTGCCTTTCTATTTACGCAAGGACCTCACTCAGAGAGGAATGTGCTTTGCACAGCTATGCTTGGATATAAATAACACAGCAGTTTCCAATCCTGATCTTAACCTTCCTCTTATTTCATCTGACAGAGAGCGATCCGGGTCCGCAGTCACTCCATGGAAACCATGGTTGGAAGCCAGAAGAAACACCAGCCTGGAGGAATCCCTGGGAGCTTGAGTGGGGGGATTGTGCACAACAGTGTTGAAATAACCAAGACTACCTTCTCTGTAAGTGCCGTGCAATTTATAACAATTGAACAAAGGGCTCAGTCCAAAAGAAGGGATCCCTGCTCCCTGAAAACATCCCATCTGCATTAGCCTTCTCAGGGACTCAGGACGGAGAAAGTCGATTCTGTGAATTTGGAGTAAAGAAAATGGTGGTACCTAGCATTGATTGGCTTTGGCCTGTGTCATCCCAAACTCCACTTCTCTCTGTCTTTTTATTCCTTTTTCTGAAAGCAAACAACTTGATTGTTCAGTTCCACAAATTCTCCACACATGCTTCCTCTTTCTGTGCACATAAACGAAGTATGATCCCTGCCTCAAAGTGGTTACAGACTGAATTTCAACATTTAATTATAGGAAGAAAGGGCTCTGAAGGCCAAAATAAATGGAAGGATATATACCAGTGTTTCTCAACCTTAGGAACTTTAAGACGTGTGGACTTCAACTTCCAGAATTCCCCAGCCAGACGTTTTTATTTTAATTTGCCTTTGGTGAATAAAAAAACATTATGCAGATGGAGATGGTAGAACTCTGGATTGGATCACAGCAGATCCCCACCCTGAGGTATCATACAAGGAACATTTTCTGTTAGAAAGAGAGGGAGATAGTCAAAGTCCAGACCTGGTCCTCACTCTACACCAGCGTTTCTCAACCTCGGCAGCTTTAAGGTGCGTGGACTTCAACTCCCAGAATTCCCCAGCCAGCCATGGGAATTCTGGGAGTTGAAGTCCACACATCTAAAAGCTGCCAAGGTTGAGAAACACTGATATATACATATAGAATTTAAAGAGATACGGTGTAGTGTAGTGGTTGAGGTGTTGGACTTGGACCTGGGTTACCTAGGTTCAGATCTCCATTCAGGTATGGCAACTTTGAACAGGTCACTCTTATTCTCCCTCAGCCCAACCTACCTCACAAGGTTCTTGTGGTGAGGAATAAAATTAGGAGAGACTTCCATGCAAGAAAATATAGAACACAAATGAAACACATAAAAGAGAGAAAGACTGCTAAGCATGTTTGCACAGAAATTGGGATCCCTGTTTTGTTTCTTCAGCCTCCGTTAGCAGCAGCAACCGCCAAGAATCAATCAAGGAGTCCTATAAAGAGGCGGTCAGGGCTGTTCCCCCGTTTGCACACTGGATCTGAAAGCCAAGCAGAATCCCGGACTCGATGGTAATTCAATAAACACATGTCTATGGATGTGGTGTCTTGTATTAGGATGTTTGGAACTCTTTAGCTTAAAAAATGGCAGCTTGGGGGGACATGATTGTGCTGTATAGAATCGTGCATGACATGATGAAAATTTCTCCCTCTCTCCAAAGCCTTAGGACAAGGGTCTTCCAATGAAGTTGATTAGAAGGAGATTTAGAACAGACAAAAGGAAGCCGTTCTCTGCATAGCCCCTGATTAAGGTCTGGAATTCATCGCCACAAGATGTGGTGATGGCTACTAACTTGGATTCAGTTCAAAGAGGATTGGATAAATTCATGGAGGACAGGCCTGTCCGGGGCTATTAGTCTTGAAGATTCAGTGTTACTTCTGGGTTGGGGGCAGGTCCTGCTTGTGGACATGCCAGAGGTATCTGGTTGGCCACTGGAGAAAGCAATATATTGGACTAGAATGGGCCTGGGCCTGATCCACTGACTACTCTAATGAGCTGTTGTAATATAGTGGTTAAGATGTGGGTTTTGGATGTGGTGATGGCCATTTCCTTAGGTAGCTTTTAAAAGGAATTGGATAAATTCATGGAGGACAAGTCTATCTATTAATGTTACTTTTGGGTTGAGGACAACATAGCTCTAAATACTAGTTGGAGGGGAACAAAAATGGAAAAATAGTGTGGCTGTATCTGCTGCTTGTGGGACCACAGGCATCCAGTTGGGCCACTATAGAAACCAAATAATGAGCTAAGATGGATCTTGGCCTGATCCAGGAGAGCTTGTCATATATTTCTTAGGTTCTTCATGGTAATAAGTGGGTGCTAAGCTAGATTCTGTTTATTTATTTATTTTTTCAGACTTGTATGCTGCCTATCTCCCCCAACGGGTGACTCTGGGCGGCTCTTTTATATGTTTTATATCTTTTTTATATCTGTTTGTGCAACTGAGACCTTTTGCTTCTGAGAATTGTGGTTTGATATTCCAAAAACTCTAACCTGGAATGAATCAGATCTAAGATAATGAATTCATTGCCTTTGTTATACTCACTACCCAGCATTTACAGTTTTGTAAAAGAATTACCGAGCTCAGGTTAAGATGCATTAACATTTTCTAGATAATTGATGGGAATAAAATGGATCAAATTATAATGCATTATAAAAAGAAGTACTAGATTACTAAAAATATTAAATGTTACATACTGAAAACGAATTCACAAAATTAAAATATTTAGTGAAATAAAATGTCAAAATATTAAACTACTGAGTTACTAAACTACCCAGTGAATACATATATTCACACAGACATACAGATGCAGACACACACAAACACACACAGAGAGTATTATAACTTTATTGCGATCAGTCACATATGACAACCCCCCCCACCATAAAACACCATAAAATCATTAAAAAAGTTATACAGTTATAAAATCCTAAAACGAATACAATATTTTCCTGTGTAAAGCAATGTCAACTCTAAGAAATGTTGCAGTTCTTCTAGAGATGTTAAAGTTCCAGTCCAACAGAAGGCAGAGAAAAATCATCCTCAGAAGAGGTGTAATTTCTGTTACCTTATTTAAGATAAGAAGAATAAGCAGCTGAGGGAAACTATGTTTTCAGAATTACTGTGCCTCAAATTAGAAGTTCCAGGAATGACTTTTGGGTTTGGGTTCCATTTGTTGGCTAAACCAGAGATACCCAGACTATCCTCAGCTACAGGAGTCCACTTAACAGGAATTTAGGCCTGTCATTATCTCCCAGATCCTTCTTCACAGGATTGTTGTTGGGGGCAAAATTGAAGGGTAGAATACTATACACCCCAAGCTGAGCTGCTGGTAGAAAGTAAAATCCAGTAGAAGAGAATATCTGTAGCTCAAGGTGGAATTGTGGAGCCCTTAGTGCTCTCTGAGCTTGGTGGTTTGCTTGGAGACGTTTCATGACCTGACTAGGTAACAACATCAGTTAGTGAAACATCTGGAAGCAAACGACCAAGGTCAGAGAGCACCAAGGATTCCATGGAAAGTAAAATAGAAATCCAGTGAATAAATAAACAGGATGCCAGATTGGACAGGTTTTGATCTAACCAAGCTCAGTTCTTCTTTTATTCATAACTCACAACTGGTTAGCTAACGACTGTATATGTCCGTAGCCAAGGCTTTGCTTTGAGCAGTTCTGTTCACCTTTGGATTGTGGCAAACACCAGACAATTTGGCCCCAGAACCTTTCTAGCAGACTCCCAACTTATAATAGCACAGCCAAAACTGGGTGGCAAGGTACAATTTTCCATTGGGGAAAAAGTTGCAATCACCAGGTCTATTTTACTTTTTAACTTCTCTCCCTGCCCCAAGGTTTTTAAAAGGAAAAAAAATATCCACATTCTCCAGAAATATCATCATACTTCTTTGTCTCCTGTGGCACTTGGTGGCAGAGAGAGCAACAAAAAGCCACAGAAGAAGAAAAAGTGTGCCTTCCTCTTCCATCCACACAAATATCCTGAGCCTCTGGATTATAATCTCTTTCTATGGCACCCAGAGACCCATGATCTTTATAGTCCTGGATTTGTCATATCAATTTGCAATATGGGAAAGAAAGATAGTCCTATAGTTTTCCCTTCGAGGAGCCTCTCAACCACCCTCTTCTTATATCACAGTTTTGGACAACAGAATATTGGCAGCTCAAATTTGAGACAAAAAACATAATCAATGCAGAATAGTGGCTAGGGTGATGGGCAGGGACCAGGGGACCCAGATTCAAGTCCAAACCTATCCATAGAGGTTCAGTAGGTGATCTGGGGCTAGTCACTCTTATAGTTTATCTACCTACTGGGTTGTTTTATACAAAACCTGATGATAATTGTGGTGATGACGATGATGATGATGATGATGATGGTATCTACTCTACTTAATTTCCTTTATTTCGTGGAACGCTTGGTGCTCTCTGATTGGTTGTTTGCTTGCAGACATTTCATTACCTGACCAGGTAACCTCATCAGTGCTAGTGAGTGTGGGGTTTGCTCCCTGTTTATATACAACAGCTTGCCCTGCCAGTGTTGGTGGGGGTGTGGTTTTCTCCTTGGTAGTTCCTTGATTAGGGTATTGTTTTCTGCCTGCTTGTTTGCCTGGGGTTAATCCCTGCTTATCTGGGTGTTGGCTGCTGGAGAGGATGTGTTCTCTTTTTGTTTCCCTCTTAGCTTTTTTATTGTCTCTTTTGAATGGTGTATAAGTTCAACCCTGACCTACATATATTCTCTTCTATTGATCCCTTTATTTTCTCCGTAGCGACAGTGGCTCAGGAACACCCAAGACCCCTGATGGAGGGCATTCCTCCCTTGAGATGAAGTCAGAGGCATCCTCGAACCCAAGCTCTCCAGAAATATGTCCCAACAAAGAGAGGTAAAAGCAAAGTGCAATTTTAAACTCATTCATTGACGGCATTCAAATGGAGTCATAGTCTTCTGGGATTCAGGTTAGTGACTTCCACTAAAGGTTGTGGATCCACCATTTCACATGTGGAAGCCTCCACCACTAAAGTTTTCAGGAATTAATGGAACCTCAGAGAGCCACAGTTGATATAGTGGAGGAGACTCTTCTGATTCTCAGGGTATATTATGTGCCTGTTGGAGTCATCTACTGGCCCCAGGGTTGGAGGAACAAAGGGACAAATTATATGAGCAATGCCAACTTCCAGTCTGTGTCTTTTCTGTGAATTCTCCTTTCTTTTCCAAGCTGGATATATTGGAGTAATGTGACCAGGGACAGACTGGGGATGGAGCGTGGAACTGGTAGATTTAGCTGTGGGATTAAGCTGCTTTTCTTTGCAGGGTGGGGATGGGGGTGGCACTTCTCCTGTTTCTACCTTTGCATGAGCAAAGATTCAGATGGTCCTGACCTTCTTAGCCTTCTAGAAGACTACGAAGACCTGGGTCTTCTTCCAGGCATTGAGGCTGGGATGTCGGGGAGCCCTAGCATGTGTGTGTTTGCCATCTTGGTAAGATTTTTTTTTCCAGGCCCTTAACTTGTTTTTTTCTCAATTGATTCTCTATTAGGTTTTCATCTTTTGCTCATCACCCAGAGTTCCATTGGTTAGATAGGTGGCCATATGAATTTGTTTAGAAAGCAAACAAACCAATATATAAGAATATACTAAAGGCATGAAACACATATAAGACATTTAAGAAAAGTTTCACGACTTGAAGATTGAAGCAATGATGTCCACCCTTCTTCTTAGGAGTTCAAATTAAAGCAGCACTGATAGGCTCTGCTTGAAAAGAACTAGTGAAGGGTGCCCACCTTCTTCCTAGGAGGTCATGTCCATTGATCAAAGCAGACAGTAAAAAGAAAAAGTAATCTGGAGAAAAACTCACAACCCCATTAGGGTTCCCTAGGTGTGCCATGTTCAAGTCAGTGTGTACTTATGTGTGTGATCACTGGCTAAAAACAACAAATGTGCAAACATATTTTATCCACACACAAACACTCACGGATGGATGGATGGATAGCATATTGCTGATGAAATGGTATACAGGTAGTCTTTGTTTAGTGACCATTCACAGTTATAACGGTGATGAAAAAGTAACTTTGCGACCAATCCTCACATTGACAACCTTCACAGGTCTGTAAAGCACAGGAAAGCTGAAGTAAGACTGTAAGCACAGTGTCAGGCCCAACCTGAGAACAATGAAACAGTCCAGTCGAATACAGTTCCTTTATTTGGTTACACCTCATAGACAGAATCTTGCCAAACTAAATCTATACTACAGCAACTAGTGGATATACCCTGGGAGATTCTAGGGAGGAGCTATCCTGAATCTCTTACTCTTCTCATGCTCCCCTTGTGGACCGTGTTGTCTTTTGCCTCCTTTCCCCTGCTGGAATGCTGCCTCTCCCTCCTGATAGCCTTGCTCTCCCACACACAGTCACAGTTTCACTTAGTGACCGCATCGCTTAATGACCAAGTTACTGGTCCCAGTTGTGGTCGCTAAATGAGGACTAACTTTATGCTTTAAGGACTAGGAATTTTTAATCTCGAAATTGGAGAATGGCGGAGATGGAGCATTTCCTAAGCATCTTGAGTTTTAAATTTCTGTTTCTCTCTCCCTTTCTGCCAGGCCATTCATTAAACTCAAAGAGAATGGAAGGTCAAATATCTCCCGTTCATCCTCAAGTACCAGCAGTTTCAGCAGCACTGCAGGAGAGAGTGAAAACATGGAAGAATACGAAAGCCTGGTAAAGCAGCTTCTGCTGTCTGCTCTTGACTGATCTGAGGTGGCAAAATTTCCTGAACCAAGCAGAACTCTTTTAGCATATTATGCATTAAAAAAAAAATTAGTATCTGTCTCCTCCACTTCCATCAGCAGTGGCTGATAACTCTTCCTGTTTCCCCTTATGTTTGTCTGACGTTGTCAGCCCCTCCAGGGAGATCAAGCCAGGACATCAACTCCACAGGAAGGCTAAGGCTACTTCACTGAGAGTGGCTACAATAACAGAATCTTGCACGTCTGAGTGTGCTGTACCCCCTCCCCTCCTTATACACATGTGAATTAGGGAGGTGTCTATCTGGGCTGCTTACGCATCCTTTCTGTTGGTTTTTGACTTAAGCCATGTTTTTCTCCTCGTTGCTTTGGTAACGGATCTGGCCTATCTCTGCCAAGATCATCTGTCTTTTATTTACTCAGAGCTGTTTCTAAACAATGGAAACTTTATTCAAGAATCACATTGCATGAGCAGATATACGTTATTTTGGTTTAAAGTACAGTATAGCATTGTCTCCTTAATGATGTCATTATATTTACTTTATTATAAGGGACATTCTTTAATTTGATTATACTTATATACCCCTGAATCTAAATGTTTCACAGCAGTTTACAAGGCAGTGACCCGTGAAATGGCAACACTAACTTTCAAAAGTTCTGTAGAAGTCTCCTTCTCCTTCTCCTTCTCCTTCTCCTTCTCCTTCTCCTTCTCCTTCTCCTCTCCTTCTCCTTCTCCTCTCCTTCTCCTTCTCCTCTCCTTCTCCTTCTCCTCTCCTTCTCCTTCTCCTCTCCTTCTCCTTCTCCTCTCCTTCTCCTTCTCCTCTCCTTCTCCTTCTCCTCTCCTTCTCCTTCTCCTCTCCTTCTCCTTCTCCTCTCCTTCTCCTTCTCCTCTCCTTCTCCTTCTCCTCTCCTTCTCCTTCTCCTCTCCTTCTCCTTCTCCTCTCCTTCTCCTTCTCCTCTCCTTCTCCTTCTCCTCTCCTTCTCCTTCTCCTCTCCTTCTCCTTCTCCTCTCCTTCTCCTTCTCCTCTCCTTCTCCTTCTCCTCTCCTTCTCCTTCTCCTCTCCTTCTCCTTCTCCTCTCCTTCTCCTTCTCCTCTCCTTCTCCTTCTCCTCTCCTTCTCCTTCTCCTCTCCTTCTCCTTCTCCTCTCCTTCTCCTTCTCCTCTCCTTCTCCTTCTCCTCTCCTTCTCCTTCTCCTCTCCTTCTCCTTCTCCTCTCCTTCTCCTTCTCCTCTCCTTCTCCTTCTCCTTCCCATTTTTTCATTCCCTCCTTCCTTCCTTCCTTCCTTCCTTCCTTCCTTCCTTCCTTCCCTGAGCAAATACTAAAACTAAAGTCACTATAATAATAATCAATGCAAAATTAACACTCACACTGATGGCTCCACATTAATCAGCAGCCAAAGGCCTTTGGTTATAACCAGAACAGTCAAGTTTGTACAGCTTCTGGAAGTTACAAAGTTATTCCCAAGGAAGAAAGTTTCTGCAGAGAGCACCAGCCATGGTGCCCCTCTCACCACACCTCCTGATAGGAGAGGATACTCCTCAGGCATGTGGATTGGACAGAATCTACTTGAGAAAGGCAGTTTCTCTGCCTCCTATAGTAGAATACAAATTGTCCATCAGAGTTCTCTTGGAAAGATCAATCTTTCTTCCTGACCACTGACTGTGCCGGTTGGGGTAGATGGGAGTGTGGATCCAGTAACACTTTCATCGTCCCAGATCAATCACTCATAATATTACAGGACCAGGGATGTTAAAAAATCGGGGGGTTATTCTGAGGTTTTGGGGGGAGGGTTTAAAGGAGGGAAATGGTCTAGGTGACTACGTCCTCTTACCCCATTCATTCAGCCAATTTTTCTGTTGGGCAAGGCTTAAGGTATCTATTACCAGACCCATCCAACTGCCTCCAAACAGGCCAAAAGTTTTGGCCCCACCCATTCTGTTGACATCATAGGAAGCTCCCCAAATTTAAAACATGACCCAGGCAATAAAGAAATTGCCAATCTCTGACCTATAAGGATCTAGGGTAAAGAAGCTGGTTCAGCCTTCCACATTCCCACCTCTTTTCCACTGCAGGTCTTAGACCTTCTGTGTAGATGCTTCCTTGCTCTATCATGATCCCACTAGAGCAATGTTTCTCAAACCTGCCGAGTTTGAGAAACACTGCCCTAGAGCAATCCTTAAAGTGTTTCATGGGTTGAGTTCCTGAGCCCAATGCAAGACGTTAAAGCTCATCTACAAAGCCCTAATGGCATAGGGCCCATGCACTGACATCGGTTGTGGAAACCCTGCTTGTTTAGTAATTCCAAGTATAGCAACCCCAAGTAGGGCCTTTTCAGGGGTGGCATTAGCCGCACTTCCAGAACATTCTCCCTGAGGAAGTCTGCCTGCCATCCTTGCCATCCACTTCTGGATAGAGGTTCAAGACATGACATGAAAATAAATGCCAAGGGACCAAAAAGCCACTCAACAGATACCTGTTATGTCAAGATTGGTTTTAACCTCAAGGGAAGCGGGTTGGGATTACTGTAGAGATAAATGCTGTGTAGGTATTGTTTTCATTGGTTTTGTTTCCCCTTTTGAAAAACATATTCTGCACACTGCTACGGACTCCTTTAGGAGAAAGGGTGGTATGCAAAATGAAAGAATAAAACTTTCTTTAATTCACAGGGCAGCCAGTCCTCAACTGCATCACCATATAAGCAAGACGTATTTGTTTACAGTCCTTCCCAAAGCATCGAAAATCCAAATTTAGCATCAGCCTCAACCCCTGTTATCATGAGCAGGAGCCCCACTGGTAAGTCAAGCCAAACCCATCTCAGTGGGCTTTGTTTGGTGCTGCTGGTGAATATGACACTCAAGTAGGGTGGCTTGGCATTGTCTTCTGGAATGTGAATCTTCTAGTCTAGTCAATGGTCCTGAGATTTTCCTGGTGGTCTTCCATCCAAATATTAACCAGGCCCATCCCTGCTTAGCTTCCAAGATGGAGATAGGTACGGTTCAAATACGAGCAGAACTTTATGTACTTACTGCTGTTCACCTCAGAAGACAGGACCATCCAATTGTCTTTTGCTGCCTAAGTAGTCTCTCCCCCCCATATATCAAAGCCATCCAGAGAGATAGCTGAATCTTCCTCCCAGATTAACAACAAACCAGACTCCCTGGATTACAGAGGAGAGGGATAGACAGACTGGCATATGCCATAAACACCTCTATTCCTCAGGCTATGCCGTGTCTCCTGACTCGAATAGCATATATGTCTGAGTAAATCAGTCAACCAACCAATTTGCCACCATTACCTGCCCCTTCTCCACTGGCTGACACCTGATAGATCTGCTCCATTCTTTCTTGAGTCAGGACCAGTTCTTTAAATTCTAAGAAGCTGAAGATGCCCTAGTTATTACATTTAATTTATTACACCCCAGGAGACTAGAGCAATGCCAAAGATTAAAATCAGAATAATCCTAAGAAGTTAAAGGGGCTTCAGTTGCTAATTTGAGCTCTACCTGCAAAGCCCATTGCCCCACATAGCTTATCAGTTGCCTTTCCCTGTGGCCTTGATAGGAAATATCATACAAATAGTGTGGAGCCCATTAAATGGTTGCATTGTGTAGAATGCACTCTCCCCTGTCTTTTTGTTATTATCATTTTTAAACTCCTTAACTGGTTTTAATTAGTTGTGTTTGAATTATGTTGATTGTTTAGCTTTGTGTTTTCATTGTGTATGCTACCCAGTGTCACGTGCATGAGATGGGCCACTCTATAAATTTGATCAATAAATTCATTGGTATTTATTTAAGTTAAATGATACCTTTCCATTCAGACAAGCAGTAAAGAAGACTAGCAAAATTAAAAAGGGCAATGCAAAAAAAAATTAAAAACAAGATAATGCACATACTAAAACCATTTCACGATTAATAGCCCAGAGAAAGATACTTTGTTGCTCACTAGCATGGTGAGCTAGGGTGTCTATGTGGGGTGTGTGTGTGAGCAAATCCCAAGAGAATTCATGACATTGCAGATGTATAAACGTTGGTATTGTGATGAACGTGTGAATTCGTAAACATTGGTGGGGCTCATTCTTTGTTTTAATCTATATTGATTCTGAGCCTTCCAAATCAATAATTGGAAGCAAACTGCTTTTTTTTTTTTTAATTGTTCCAACAGATATAAAAAGCAGAAATTCTCCGAGATCAAATCTAAAATTTCGCTTTGATAAACTTAGCCATTCGACCTCTGGTCCGGTAAGTACAGATGCATGTAACTGCCTTCCGTTAAATCAGAGCCGTGATTTATTCTGTCACATTTCCCACTTGCAAGCAAAGGGCGATGGGTCAGACTCAAGACATGGCCTTTTGAGGGGCAGCCCACGCCCCCAGCAGAAGCTCCCTATTTCCTGACCTAGCATTTTGACTTTTGAATGCTTAACATCTGTCTCTGAGGCCTATTGTTGTTCCATGGTTGTGTTTAGTGAGATACAGTTCTTCAGATCCAAAGTGGGAAAGATGTGGCAGAGGGGACAATGGGGTGCTCATTGCATCTGTTGGCTTTTTTCTTAAAGAAGTTGGACCTTTTCCTGGGCTGACACGGTAGCTGCATGGTACCTGGAAAATCTGCATTTAAGTTAAGGAGGTGCTGATTTAATGTCTCCTTAACTCAGACAAGTTTCTCCTGGGACCATGTGGCTACTGTCCAAACCCAGGAAAAGGCATGGCTTCTTTAAGGAGACCCCCAACAGGTCTCAGGGTGCACCTGTCCCCTCCAAAGCATCTTTTTGACTTTGGATCTCAGGAGCTATCTCAGGTGAGACAGTAAAACAGATCATCACTGGAGGCCCACTTGTTTTGTTTTTTAAGCACAGGGAAAAGTAGGAAACTCAAGGAAAGAAAAAGAGTAGTAAAAAAAAAAAATTCTGCCAGGTTTTGAACCATGTATAATGCAAGACCTATAGCCCCTGTGCTATTCTAGCACTGGTGGTGAGTTGTTCTAAAAGAACTTTAGAAAAGAACTTAGACAGAAACAAAGCAATAAGAAAGGATTTATTGTTATTGTTGTGCCTGCATGTATGTCAGAAAAGGCAGGGGATTATAGGAGCTGGAGTCTGGCTCATGTAGAGGGTCAGAAGGGGTTGTAAAGATGCTTATATGTTTGACAGAACGTGTTTCCTTTGTTTGCAGACACATTAGCTGAAGAATAACCCCTAAAGATCTATAAAAGGTAAGTATATTTGGCCCTGGGTTTTTAACCATGTCAATGCCAAGTATTGACAAAAATGATAGGGAGGATATTTTGTTCAAGGGGGCACACTTTTTTTATTATGGTTATGGTGGGCCTCTGAGGGCTGCCAGCAGTACAGTGGTCAGTGATGTTCATGGGGGGGCAGTCAAAAAAGGCAAGATGGCGGTTATGACTGCAAACCACGCTCACATGTACAGAATGGAAAGGGCTTTAATCACACAATTGTGGCTGCCATCTTGCCTTTTTTGACCCCCTCTCTGTGAGCACTGCTGACAAGGATGTCCCTGAAGTGGGAGGGATTGAATACTTGACCCATTGTTTTCCAGCGTGGCTAGCTGAGATGATTTATTTTTTAAAAAAAACACAGAACGCATTTCATCCTGGCATTGCGCAGCTATTTCATAGCTTCATTGAGCAGCAAACTGGCAAGTTTCAGTGCTGTGAGGATCTCTTTTTTTAAGTTGCCATTTTGCTGCCTAAAATATTAGCAGCCTGATCCTGGTGGGGGGGTGGTCATGGGGGTGTATGCAATGGCTTGGCAGGTGGCAGATCTTCTTCAGGTCCTGGGGTGTGCAGCCTTGATTTTGGGAGGAAGCCAGTAGCTCCCTTTCTCCAAATAGATGGATCATAAAAAATGCCAATTACTACCATTTAAATCAGGGTTCCTCAACCTCAGCAACTTTAAGATGGGTGGACTTCAACTCCCAGAATTCCCCAGCCAGCAAGGAATTCTGGGAG